TCTCGACGTAACAGAAGAAATAAAAGAGGAAATTCGCATCTCTTTACGCAGAACGTTATCACCATCGCTGTGTCTGTCTCGCCGCCGCGAACCTGCAACTTCCAGCATGGCCCGACTTGCTGCTCGCATACATCAGATAGCGCGACCAGCACCCGACTCCATTTGCGACCACCATCGTCGACTCTCTGACGAGCACCCGCAACGAGTCCCCTTACACGATCACTATTCCCTTGCTCGTGAGTTGTTCCCTGTCAATTGCCTCAGCCCGACGTTCGTTGCCGTGAACCAACAGCAGACCACCGCTCACGATCGTCTCTTCCGAGCAGCCCTGTCATCGACGACCCCTCAGTGGTTCGTTCACGAGCAGTTCATCGAGTTCAGTCCGACCTTTCGAGGATTTTCGAGGTGTCCGTCCGAGTTCCCTTCGTTCACGTCGTTTCGTTTGATTTTTCTTTACCGGGCTCGTAGATTCCCGAAGGCGGGTAACTTATTCGAACCTTCTCGTTATTTTGGTCGTGCTCGTATGTCACATGTTAGATATATATATCGTGTGTTCTATTGAATCCTGGTTTGAAGTCGGATTCCTTTCAATTTGTATATGGCATGATTTATCTCGAAAATACTGCTCTGTTGTACTACTATTATGACCATCAGAAAAACTGTTATTTGAAGTTGTAATCTTCATATGAAATGTAGTACTTTCTGTTGGCTTTCTCTGGGCTTTGAAATTTTGATAACCGATTAGTGGCGAGTGAGTTATGATTTTTACAAAAATATCGTGCGTACAATTTTTCTGTTACCCGGCAGCATGTGTTTATTTAATCTATGACCTGCTTATGGTATCTTAATGTGCTCAAATAAATTTGTGATCTTCATGAAAGTTATAGGTTTACTTCTTAGCTTTTTGATGAGGTAAGATTCATACGTATGTGATATATGTAGCTCGAGTTGTGTTCATATTGAAAGTGCTGAAGATTGGGAGTAAATCGATGAACCTTCTGATGTTCGCAGAGACCAGAAATTTACGGAAGTATTTAAGGGAAGTTTATTTTTGGTATAAATTAGTCTTAATTTTGATTAAGTCCAAAGGACTGATTATTTATGTTTTATTATGGCAGGACCTTGGGATTGAGGGGAGATACGCTTTCCATATTCTAAAGAGATGTAGAATCGCAAGATTCACCTTCCATAATCGAAGAAGGAGAATCACGAGATTAGCATTCCTTATATGCGTTTGTCTTGGATGAGAAGATTTTCCAAAAAAGGATGCTGAAGATAAAAGGAGGACGAGACCGGAGTTGAGGATGACTTTTGACATCTTTTTATTATTTTTCCTTCTGTGAGAAAAAGTGTGATATTTAGAACATTTTGTAAAAGGAAGTTCGGAGGTTCGTTCTTATAGTTTGAGGGATTCGAACTAGAAAATCCATAAGGGAGTTGTGGTCGGATAAGTAGTTGTGTGAATCATCATTCAAATAGAGTGTAGAGGGAGTCTATACTGTAAACCCTTGGATGATGTATGAGTTGGTCACAATAATGAAAGAGATCTGAAGGGAGAGTGGGACGCTCTCCTGAAGATTCAATTTCTAGTGAAAAACAACTTCCGCAATTGTTTGAATCTTCATTACAGTCTGTTTATTCAATTTACGTGCAACTCTGTATACTTGGTGTTCAAGTATCAAATTACAATTCGTTTCAGAGCGGGTTTTTGTCTTCATTACGAAAGATCCTAGGACATGTGTTACCCTCAAATCATGAATCAAGAAAGCGGATCGATGTCCAGGCCTCCGCAATTGGACGGTTCAAACTACTCATATTCGAAGTCTATGATGACAATCTTTCTGAGATCGCTTGGAAAAGGCATGTGGGAAAGTGTTGAAAATGGCTGGGAGCATCCAGTCATGCAACAAGTGTTGGGTTCTGTTAGGAACGTCAAACAACATGCACAGT